TGAAATTAAGAAAGTCCTTAAGTGGACCTTTCCTAAGAAACCTGAGGCTTTTCTCCTGGGCATGGTTGGCCAATTGGTGTCAAAGAAGGACAGGACCTTTTTTATGTACGCTACCACAGCAGCAAGAATTCTTCTGGCAAAGCATTGGAAGACGCAAGAACTACCTACTCTGGAAGAATGGCAGACAAAGGTGACTGACTTTATGGGACTGGCGGAGATGACTGGCAGAATCCGCGACCAGGGGAAAGAGACAGTGGAAGAGGATTGGAAGAAATTTAAAATGTATCTTAAAAACTGTTGTAAAATTGAGGAGTGTTAAGATGTCAAGGGATAAGAAGCAGAGAATTACAGCTGTAACTAACAAATTAAAGAAAACTTAATGAAGGGGAATTAAATAGATAAACTGACCAAAGGATTGCTAAAAAATTGTAAAACAAGGATGCATGCGAAAGGGAGGTATGGGGAAGTCGGGTGAAAGAAGGTGCATGAAATTAAGAGTATGAAATTATATATGTTTAAATGTTTTGTATTTTTCTGTTTTGTGTTGTGTTTGTTTTTTATTATATGTTTGAAAAATGAATAAAAATTATTATAAAAAAAAAATAGAGCTTAGAGGAAGAGCTTCCAGGCTAGATGGTGGAGTTGCATTCATGCGCCAACATCTCTCATTTTAGAAACATGTGGTGTGATCCTAAACATGTTTAATCAGAAACAGGGCTGCGAGTTTAGCAAATTTTATCAGCATGATGAATCCATTAAAATATATTGGTCAGCTAAAAAGGTTCCCCTAACTTACTGACCAGCAGGTTTAAATAATAATAATAATAATTTTGATGTTGTTGTTGTTAATTTATTTAATTTGTTATTCACCTAATGGCCTCTCTGCAATTTACAGTCAGGTTTTAAAACATGCATTTGTAAAAACAAAAGCCACCAAAAGTTAAACAATTGATCAGAACATAAAATGAACACCAGATTCCAAATGGGATGGGGGCTTTATCAGCAACCTAGACTGGTAGCAATAGAAATCTTGGCTTAGCTGGGTCATATTCTCGAAGCTACCAGCATGAGTTTGACCAAACTGTGGGAGGCAGTGGAAGACAGGAGTGCCTGGCGTGCTCTGGTCAATGGGGTCACAAAGAGTCGGACACGACTAAACGACTAAACAACAACAGCATTCCATCAAATGCCTAGGTGGAGAGAAAAGTCTTAATCTGGTGCCAAAAATATGTCAATGTCAGTTCTAGGACAGCGTGTCACAGTCTGGAGATCTGGGGATGTCAGGGAGGAACAAAGGACAAGTCCCTCTCTACTGCTGCCACCCTCCAAAGCTTTCTCAGACAGGGCAAACAGAGAAGGGGCTCAGAGGACACTCATATGGTTCAAGTAGAGTTTTCTTAACAACAACAACAATTTGCACAACAAAATTGATAAAATGGATGACAGAATTTACTAATAAAACAGCAGATGACAAGCACCATCTTAGACAGGGAAGGGGAATCTGTGTTCCTGCAGATTTTCGTGGATTCTGGCTCCAACACCCATCCCTGAGCATTGGACATGCTGGCTGAGACGGATTAGAGTTGTCGTCTAGCAATATCTGAAGAGCCAGTGGCCCAATGCTCAGGGATGGGTGTTGGAGCCGGAATCCACGAAAATCTGCAGGAACACAGGTTCCCCTTCCCTGTCTAAGATGGCGCTTGTCATCTGCTGTTTTTATTAGCAAATTAGTATATTAGTAAATTAGTAAATATGAAGCATCTATATATTAGAAGAGGTATTCCCTTCTGTGTGACAGAGAAGAGGGAATGCGTCTTCTCAATGATGCTTGCTACAACAATACATGTATCATCATCTAAAAATGAATAGGGCATATTATTCCCTTATTTTTTTATCTCCTTTATGCATATTGAATAATCAATCAATTAAAACTCATTTTGGGCTTTTTCCACATTTGCACATTATTTAGCTGCTAATACACTTCCCCTCTATTTGAATTCGATGGGGGCTGCCCACACCTGCACATATCTGAATTTGTATATAAGCTGCAGCTTCAGTTCTTCCTATTCATGCCTGTAGCTGTTTTGTGCTTGTCCCTGCCTTCCAGTTTGTTGATACTATTATGCCAGTTAAGTACTGTGTGCAGGTAGCTGTGTGAGCCTTGTTTTTAATAAACGTTTCCCCACCCCACCCAAGAAGTGTGCAAAAGCAAATTCCTTCATTCCGTTTTCTGACTTTGTGCAAAAGAAAGAAAGGAAAACAGCCTTTGCGGAGCACACTGGAAATAGTTACAAGAACGGCCACAAAAGAAATGAAAGCAATGAAGAAGTACTGGGTATGGGAAGGGGAGGAGCAGAAAGCGGCAATCGCTCCAATCAACCAAAATCACAAAAACAAATAATAATATGTGATCCTGAGTGGAGTGGTTTGGAAAGGAATTTGTATTATTCCAGTATCAGGTGAGCCTGAATTTACAAGCAGAAGCATTAAGATGGGCATTGTTCAAGGGTAACATCATGTGGACAACACAAATTAAATGTGAATGCAAACAGCTGCAAACACACAGTGAACTGGTGTGGAAGAGCCCATGATTAAACAGTTAAGATTTCTTTAATTGGAAAGCTATCCTCCTTCTAGGCCCCATGGAGTAAGTCACTTCCTAGCTAAGTGTGATTGGTTTTGCAGCCTTACATACTGTTACACACGACCCCAATCTCCACAGCAGTGCAAGATTCCAGGGAACCAAGAGCTTACACGGGACCTGTGTTTCCTTTGGAAATGAGGCAGAGCAGAGAATATAGTTCATTTACACATATATACAACCTGAGTCCAAGCTGGAGGGAGGCAGCATTGGATTTAAACAGACACCTGCCATTTCTCTGCCTCTCTCTCCAGCCCACTGCTTACTAATTCTGTTGAATAACACTAAAACACTTCGCAAGAAGCTTCTGCCCACATTACTCCTAACTCTCTATTCTCTCCCTGGCTTTTTGCAACACAGGCAGAGGAGAGGTCCCACTCGCTTTGATCCTGTGTTGTGCTATATTACCCCCAGGCTGCCATCTCAAAGGGGATGCGTCTGACTTAATTAACACTTAATTTATGTTGATTCCCTTGGATTAGCATTGTCTAGCACACAGCCTAATCACAGGGGTTAGGCCTAATGCACACACAGAATCTGGCTATTTCCTGTTTCTAACACCCCCAAGCCTTTGTTAAATTCTAATGCTGCTGGTACCAGGAATTCAGGAAAAACTTATACTTTGGTATCAGGCGGCTTAGGTGCCACCCTAAACACACTAATAGTGCAACAACAACAACAACAAAGGTGCAATCCTATGCATGCCAGTCTCTTTTACTTCAGTGGGGCTTGCTGTCAGATAAGAGGGAATGGAACTGCCTCTTTGGAATGCATTCCTGTACCACTTAACTGAGTCCAATTGAACCCAGTTGTTCCCAGTAGAACAGGATTGCACTGTTAAGTAAGGAAAGGCATGGTTAAGATCATGCTGGTGTTTAATATTCACACCCTGCCTTCTTTCCCTCTATCAAAACTTTCCAAAGTTGATTGCCCTGAGCAGAGGCTGGACTGCCGGGCAAGAGCCTTTCCCTGAAAGGGAATCTTGATTACCCTTTCTGACCCAGACACAGGCAAACCCTCACATCAGAATGCAGGGGTGCCAACTTGAATACAATATTGGGGGGCATAATCGATCACAAGACGCACACATGCACACCATTTGAATGGCAATGTCAATCAATGGGGGTGGAGGGGCTCAAATGTTTTATGAGGGAGAGACGGGACTTTGGCCCCTAGGAGTTGGCTCCTATGTCAAAACATAGCTCAAGAGGATCACAGTCACTGACCAAACTGCAACCCTTTCTGCTTCATTAAAAGGGCAAAAAGCAGGAGGTGTAGGCAGGAAACTTCCATGGACCCCAATGTAGCCCGATCCAGAAACCAGTTAAGCCAAAGGACGTAGGATAGGGAGTTGAGGCATTTGCTTCTATGCATGGCAAACTCTTGGACTCAGTGAGACTTGATTCCAAATAAACACGCGCAACCCCACTCCCTACTCTTAGAAAAGATCTCTGTTGAAATCTTCTGAATACATTTATACTATTGTTGTTGGGAGAGGCCTATTATTATTAAGTTGTCTGCCTTCACATATTGAGGTTGAGATGTCAGGTTGCTAACGATGTACCCTTCCATGGGAATATGCTCATTGAACTCAATGGAGAAAAAATATACATAGGATGAGACTAGACATAGTCAAGTGAATCAGCCTGAACGCTGATTTGTGTTTGTGTTTTGAGGGGAGGCAGAGAATGCAAGACTTCCAATTTTCCTCTTCAGCCCTGAAGCTCCCACATTAAGACAGCATCTCCCCCAACTCCCTCTCACCCCTTGCATGGCTCCTGAATCCTGGGAAGCTAAAACAGCACCCTTAGAGGAGGGAGGAGGGGGATAGGATCCGCCTGTCTGTGTGTGGACGCAACCAAGGGAGGTTAAGGAAGTGGGACCTAAACCGGCTTCAATCCGATTCATCCTCACGACCAGTCTGTGGAGTGCAGCAGACGTCAGGCCGTCTTCCTCCAATTGTCTTCCATTGTTTGAGCCTCTCTGCTTTCAAAGCCCCCACTTAACATGGAGAGAACCCTCCACCAACGACGGACCCCCTCGTGGGAGACGTGGCTAGTTCGTTTCATCTGCTCTAAGTCCATCTGCGCTTACGTTTTTTCTGCGGAGGAGACCTGAGCCTCCTCTGTGTCTTGGTTCTGGGAAAACGGGGGGTCATTTATTTGCCACGATGGCCTTCCTTTCTAATACATTACCCACAATGCTGTCCTCCCCGCCCCCCGGGTCTCCTGAAGACCTCGTGCGCTCCTGAGCCGACCGGCTGTAACTTGACACCCACCCCGTCCCATCCCACCGCGTCTCTCCAATCGGACCCTCCAGTCCGGATCTGCCCTAAACATTAACTACAGGCGACTCCCTGCAGCCAAAGCTGCTGCGCCTGCCGAAGGTTCCTAAGGGTCAAGGTTCAGCGGGGTATTCCGTATGCTCTCTGGCTTGGAGAAGGATGGGGAACCTCCAAATGTCTCCAACGCCCATCACCCCTGACCACTGGGGATGCTGGCCGGCGAGGAGGGCAGGCGGAGCCCCACCGCATCTGAAGGGCTACACAGGCTTCCCACTGTTATCCCTTTCGACGGAAAGAGCGGTCCCACTTCCCTTCAGCGGGTACCCGAACCCGAAAAGACTCCCACTTCAAGCGGAGGCTGGATGGCCATCTGTCATGGATGCTTTAGTTGAGATTCCTGCTTTGCAATGGGCTGGGGGACCCCAACCCCCCACAATTCCCCTCCTTTCCTCCCTGTATACCAGCTTCTTCCCCATGTTTACATTCCTCCTGGCTGGGACAGCCAGGCGTGCGGATGAAAGGGGCCAGAGATCGCGCGCCTAGGTCCTTCTGCGAAGCGCTCCGCGCCTCTGCCTGCCCTTTCGCCGTTCGCCGTTGCTGGCAGATTCTCCCCAGTTTTTCGGCATCGGCTGGCTTGAAGACCTACAGAACAGCCCTCGGCTTCTTTCCATTCTCTTCCACAAAAATAAAATAAAAAAGCGTCCCCTTCTCCCCTCCTTGTCTCGCTCTCCCTCCCTCCCTCTCTCTCCGATCTTTTCGGAAGTTTTGGTAGCTTGAGATGCGCCCCTTACAAGATGCCCAACAGGCGCGTCCGACGGCGCTGCCTCGGATGATCGGCTCGACAACTACGCTCGAAGCGGTTCTCTTGCCATTACTGCGAAGCCCGGGTCTAGCACGTGTCAGACTGGGGAGATCGCTCGTTTCGCGGGCACGGTCATTCCGTCCAATGTGCAGATGGGAACAGGTAAACGCCTTTAGGGGGTGGGGAGAGTTCCGCTGGCTTTTTTTTAAAAAAAGGATAATAACAGCCACAAAAGAGTCTCTCACCTGCATTCTTCCTTTCTTCCAAGCACCATCCTAAGTGCTGAAGCGAGAGGATAAGAGACGGCTGACTTGGGAAGCGAAAGGCAAAAGAAGGACAGACCCGCTGGCGTTTGCCCACCACGGATTCCGAAGATTGGGTGAGCGGAGCAGGAGGCGTCCCCCTTAAAGCTGAACTCCACCTTATTCTCCCACTATCACATGACGGTGTGCGGTGCGGGATGTGAAGATCCCAGCACACGCGTCTCACCTTTAAGCTGCACATCTGGAGGTGGGTTGCCTAGTAATTCCGAAATAAATGTAATTAAGTATGGAAACTGCAGGGAAGGAGGGGGAGGGAGCGGGGAGGAAAGGGGCTGGGAAGAGCTCTCGGGTGTGGGAGACAGTTTCTGAAATGCTTCTGCAATCCGGATTTTTGTCGGCGTGGTGGTTTGCGAGCCTGCGCCACCTCGTGGCCGAAGCCCGTCGGTGCCGAACCCTTCTCTGGGCATGGGGTTATGTAAAACGATCATTAGCGGGAGTGGCGGCTGGGATGTGATTTCATGTGCGACCCCCCCCCCCAAAAAAAAACCCTCGGCTTTTTCGAATGAGAAAATTCGACTGATGGAGAGGCCCAAACGTTTTGTGTGTGTGTGTTTGTGTGTGTATAAAAAAATCTATTAGTTAAATGGAAAACACAAAGAAGATGAGCGATCACTTCTGAAATCAACTAACAGAGCAATACAGTCGTACCTCGGGTTAAGTACTTAATTCGTTCCGGAGGTCCGTTCTTAACCTGAAACTGTTCTTAACCTGAAGCAGTACTTTAGCTAATGGGGCCTCCTGCTGCCGCCGCGCCGCCGGAGCACGATTTCTGTTCTCATCCTGAAGCAAAGTTCTTAACCTGAAGCACTATTTCTGGGTTAGCGTAGTGTGTAACCTGAAGCGTATGTAACCTGAACCGTATGTAACCCGAGGTACCACTGTACATTAGTCCAGAACTGGAGATATGCCATTGCTATGCTGGCAAAACAGGGTACCACATCCAATGTGCCCAGGATGGCAGGGAGAAATTAGCATAAAATACAAAAGTGATGTGTCTGGGGAAATGCTCCTCTTGGCATCTCTGGAAACTCTGGAAACTGCAGCCCACCAATCCAAAGCTGTGCTGGGCCCAGCGATGCCACTCCCCCACAGAGGCAGCCAATGAACTCAGCACAATTGGGACACACCCATTGCACCCCATCACCACCACAAAATGACGACATGGAACCCCCTACTCTGTTAAGCCATGGTGATGCAGCTAGCAACCACCCCATTGCCACCAGTCCGCAGGCATGCTCTCAGGCAGGGCTTTGAGTCCACATGTGTTCCTTACTGTGGCATTTGCCCGTTCTTTTTAAAATGTCTGTACAGGGGGAGAGAAAGAGTTAATAGGTAGACCAATAGAAAAGCCAGAGGCAGAGCCTACCTGTTTATAAAAGGGCTTAGCCCGAGGTTTGGGTTGGTTGGTTTTAGTTACCGTATTTTTCGCTCTATAACACGCACCAGACCATAACACGCACGTAGTTTTTAGAGGAGGAAAACAAGAAAAAAATATTCTAAACAAAACAGTGGATGTATGATTTTTGTGGTTCATGCTGTGGCCACAGACATGTGATCTGACGGTGAGTTTGGGGTAGCCCAATGCAAAAATCCTGAGGATCCATGTGGATCCATGCTAAAGTCGCCCTAAAGTCGCAGGGGCGCTGGGGGAGTGAACAGGAAGCAGGAGGAGGAGAACAATCCCTCTCACACAGACACACACACACACAGAGTATCAATCCTAAAGTCGCAGGAGAGGCAGGGGCGCTGGGAGAGTGAAGGGGAAGCAAGAGGAGAACGATGCCTCACACACACACAGACACACACACACACAGAGTATCAATCCTAAAGTCGCAGGAGAGGCAGGGGCACTGGGAGTGGGAAGCAAGAGAAGGAGAACGTTCCCCCCCCCCTCTCTCTCTCACACACACACACAGTATCAATCCTAAAGTCGCAGGAGAGCACAGGGGCGCTGGGAGAGTGAAGGGGAAGCAAGAGGAGAACGATGCCTCACACACACACAGACACACACACACACACAGAGTATCAATCCTAAAGTCGCAGGAGAGGCAGGGGCGCTGGGAGTGGGAAGCAAGAGAAGGAGAACGATCCCCCCCCCTCTCTCTCTCTCACACACACACACACAGTATCAATCCTAAAGTCGCAGGAGAGCGCAGGGGCGCTGGGAGAGTGAAGGGGAAGCAAGAGGAGAACGATGCCTCACACACACACACACAGAGTATCAATCCTAAAGTCGCAGGAGAGCGCAGGGGCGCTGGGAGAGTGAAGGGGAAGCAAGAGGAGAACGATGCCTCACACACACACAGACACACACACACACACACACACACACAGAGTATCAATCCTAAAGTCGCAGGGGCGCTGGAAGTAGCAGGGGCGCTGGGAGAGTGAAGGGGAAGCAAGAGAAGGAGAACGATGCCTCACACACAGAGAGACACACAGAGTATCACTCCTAAAGTCGCAGGAGAGCGCTGGGGCGCTGTGAGAGTGAACAGGAAGGAGGAGGAGGAGAATGATAGCTCAAGCACACACACACACACACACACACACACACACACAGCCCCTACAGTGGCTGATCCAAAATCGGACAGCAAAAAACTGCAGGCAGGGACACGGGGTTGTTTTAAAGCAACCAGCCCCTATCTGCTTCTCTCCCTCCTCCCGGCTAGGCTGGCTGAAAAGCTTTGCTGCTACTTAGCAGCTCAGTGGAGAAGAGAGAGGGACATAGAGCACGGGGTTGTTTTAAAGCAACCAACCCCACTCTGCTTCTCTCCCTCCTGCCCGGCTCGGCTCGCTGACAGGAGCCGCTTACACCCGCTTTGCAGTTTCAAAGAGAGCCACGGACTGCTCACAACTGCAGCGGATTCCCCTGCCATCTGTAGGCATTCGCTCCATAACACGCACAGACATTTCCCCTTACTTTCCAGGAGGAAAAAACTGCGTGTTATAGAGCGAAAAATACGGTAGTTGGTTGGTTGGTTGGTTGGTTGGTTGGTTGGTTGGTTGGGAAAGGCAGTTGGGAAAGCAGTTGGCAGACAGTTGGAATTAGAGAGACTGTTAGTGCAGTTAGTTCCTGAGTGAGGGGAGGTAGAAGAGTTAGAGACAGGATAAAATAAGACTAAGAAGGTAAAGAGTAACAACGTTTTGAATGCAGTTAAAGTTTATTTGTGTTTGCAATAAACTACACTCTTCTTCGTTAACTTAAGAACCTGACTGAGACTAAGTGATTTACCAGGGAGGACCTGGTTGGTGGCAGTGGATTAGTGGTGTACAGGTCAATAGTCTGTGAGACGACCGGGGGCTCCGTACGAACGCCACACTTACAACTACTGTTTTTCAGCAAACACACACAAGGGAAGAAAGACAGTCCACATGACATAGTATCTATATAGCTCCCTGGGCAGACCCACACGCCAGCAGACACATTGGACAAGAGTGCAAGACCTACCCAGGGTGGGGCTAGGAGACACAGCAAGTGCAGCCACAGAACATATGAAAAGCCTGCTGGATCAGGCCAGTGGCCCATCTAGGCCAGCATCCTGTTCTCACAGCAGCCAACCAGATTCCTGTGAGAAACCAAGAGCAGAAGTGCACTCTCCCTGTGCTTTCTTGGAATTCAAAAGCATACTACCTCCAGCCATGGAACAGACTGGAACAGAAGCAACATCCAGCGGCTCATTGCATAGGGCAACAGAGGGGAACCTAATGAGGTCCTTGTGTTTTGATGGCCTTCCTAGTTAGCCTCCGAGGCTAAATGGTGGCTCAGTACCACTTTCCAAGGAATACAGAGAAATATATCACAGAGTAAATAACTGTATGTGGTTTACAAAAATTCATTGACAGTAATGTACCAAAAAGGAACCATCCAGTGGCTGAGCAGTGAATTGCCAGTGTGGTGTAGTGGTTAAGAGCGGTAGTCTCGTAATCTGGGGAACCGGGTTCGAGTCTCCGCTCCTCCACATGCAGCTGCTGGGTGACCTTGGGCCAGGCACACTTCTTTGAAGTCTCTCAGCCCCACTCACCTCACAGAGTGTTTGTTGTGGGGAGGAAGGGAAAGGAGAATGTTAGCCGCTTTGAGACTCCTGAAGGGGAGTGATAAAGCGGGATATCAAATCCAAACACTTCTTCTTCTTTTTGGCCCAACCAGAAGAAGATTCATGAAACAGAGATTGAAATCTCATTGTCAGAGTTCTGTTACAATTGCACCAGCAACAAGTATACACATCGAGAATTATTCTCTTGGACTCATTGCAGGAATATTTGGAATGCTTTTTTTTTTTAGCCTTGATTGCAGGCTTTGCCGGCTTCTTGCCACGCCCAGACATCCTGGATACTTCTTATTACAGCAGACAACTACAAAGACAAGAGTTTTCTATTTGGAATGTTTGACTTTGATATATTGAATTGTGTATGTCACTATGATTTTGGCATTGTAGATATCATTTAAAACTCTTAAGTATTAGGTGGTGTTGATTACTGTCAATGAATTTTTGTAAACCACATACAGAATTATTTAGTTTGTGATACGCTCTGGTGGCAGCAGCAGCCATCCTGCTTGTGCTCCCTGAGAGGTCTGCTCCCTTGTGGTACAGAGCATCTGAATGAGCAGGGAAAGGAGGGACTGGGTCCCCTGCCCACCTCCTTCTGAGACCCATCCTGAGGCAGGCAGCTGATGCTGGATCATATTAGGGTCCGACCATTGTAGTTGCAGCCCATGTGATAGGGCAGAGCCATGCAGCCACCCTCTGGACACCAGTAGCTCTGCACCTTGGTCACAGCATACAGCTGTATGTACATTGAGTCCGTTTCATTGAACTTGTGTGCAGAACTCCCCAGGCCAGGCTTAGCAAAGCGAAAAGAGCAGAAGTTTGATGCCCGTGGATGTGACTGTTGTGATTGGTGCAGAAAGGTGGTTTTTGGCTGCCAAAGTTAAAATGTAAGAGAAATATTGATTTTTGACACCCATGAAAAACAGAATAGATCCTGCATATTGGTGGCTCACGCTTCAGAAGCTGCGAGTCCAAGGCCCCATTCATTTTTTTAAAGAAAGAAAACAAAAAGAAATCCGCCTGAGAGCACCTTGTATTTTAGCTGTTGTGGCAGGCTCCAAGCCAAGGGCCAGCTTGTCATTTCAAATTGCCGGATGAATGCCGTGAATAATTATCAGTCATACTCCCAACAGACTCAGGATACTAAACAGATACACATCTCAGTGCTCCTGGAAGAAGACTATTGATTAAACAATAACTGGCAAAGGAAAGAAAATGTCAGATTGACTGCTGCGTTTAACCCAGATGCAGTACGTGGCGAGCATATCCATA